TTTGTTTTTATAAAATTTTATTGTTGTTTAACACCCTAATTTAAAATTTTAATGAAAACAAGAAAAATAACACTTTAATACATTTTTTTATTAATAAATAGTCTTTGTCAAAATCCATGACGCAAATAGTTACATAAAATCCTAATCATTCTTTAATCACTTTATTATTGTTGCAACGAAGAATTTTTTACATATTCTTCTCCTAAAATGTCCAGTCATAACAATTTGTTTATTAATAGTTTACAAGCGGATATTATATAAGTAGATATAGTTAAGGTGCAATTTAACACCGATACTTAAGACAAATTGCTAATTACAACACTTTAACTTACCCATTATTAAATACGACAAAAATCAAAATTTTCTGCACTGTACCACACTTGTAGGTAATCGGTTTGCCAAAAGGCTTCCAGTTTTCAGGTTACTGATAAGCACTTATTGTTTTTAGCCGTATTTGTTTCCCTCTTGCGTGTTTTACTAGGTACATATTTAAAGTGATAAAATATCTTGACATAATATCAACAAAGAAGATCTTTGCGAGATGCATTGATCCTTCAGTTTTTTTCGTGACAGGATATAGCGTCATATTCCTTGTCACGGTCGAGTGTTGGTTTTCAGGATGTTATGAATTAAAGTGTGAACTGTATTGTTCTCTAATTGCGTTTTATTACTTCATTCCAATTCAAAAATTATGCAAATGAAAAAAAACCGCCGTTCTTATAAATCACGTTTTCCCAAACAAAAAATAAATTTAATAACAAAGGCACACAAAGTCGAGCAAATAGTCTATTTGGAAGCTAAATGTTTGTTCAAATTATCGCATGTATTTACCTTAATCATAAGTACGTTGCTACCTAATTTTATTAATTTTTCATAGTAGTGTTAAACGCCACGTCATAGAAATTTTATTGCAATTAACAGAGATGCATCGGAGTTAAAGATAAATCCAGTAAAGCTATTTTATTTCGTCGTTACACAATAAAACATATATTACAACACCAATTATTTATTTCTAAAAATGTTTGGGATTTAGGTATTAAATTTTTTAAAAATGTATTTTGAAAATACACTTTAATCTTTATTTCTTAATATCTTTAAGTACTTAAAAAAAAACAACAAGATAAAAGGATTTAAAAAGCTTCGATTGTAGCATATTTTTATTTTGTTTATCATTAATTTTAAGTATTATATAACAATTAAAAATCGATAATTTATGTATTATGATTTCAGATTATTTTTTATTAATTGTTTATAACTGCTTGCTTTAACTTTGTCCACCGTAGGATCAAATAAATGTGTCATCTCAATCTCTTAGTATTTATCAAAGCGTAAATTTTTTTTTGTTTATTGAAGAATTTTAGAAAATTATGCAAGAATTTAAAATTTATAGGGACTTTTATACAGAGCGTTTTACAACTTATGCGAAAAATTTTAGCTACCTTGTATGTGTTTTAATAAGAAGTCAGTTTCAGAAGAAATGTAACAAAAGTTTGAAAAAACTACTTTTATTAATTAGAGGTTGTTCTAAAAGTATTTTGATAGCTGAAACTGACATAGAAACACTGTACTCCACTTTCCCCCATACTCAAATGTTGATTAATTATTTGTTTTATACGGCAATGAAAGAAATGATTAATGCATAAAACTTATTTCAGTGTACAAAGAAAAAAACTAGTAAACTATAAAATCAACATTAGTTTGCATAATCGTACTAGCTTGAGGTTGTGTTTTCACTTCATTAAAAATTATTGCAATTATTGCATCTTGACTAAAATTATCTAATTTTAATTGTAGGATAGGTAATTAGTTAAAAGATGTGACTGATTTTCTATATTATTAATACAATTGTTCAACTGCATTTTTTGAATTGTATAAATCAAAATTTCTAAAAGTTTTTGTTAAGAATTAAATTAAAAAATAAAATAAAAATATAAACTTTTTAAAACGTAGTAACTTGTCCGAATGCAAGGTTATTTGTGTTAGCATTTTTTAATTCTTATTATTTTTATTTTATGTTGAAATGAAATTCATGATACGTTTTTAAATTGCAAATTATTTCTACAATAATGTGACAATTAAAATTATCACACTTAAACCTGAGCGTCGTAATTTCTCTAACTTTCTTCTAACATTTTAAATTACTAAATAACCTAAACAAATTGATTATGCATACAATCTTAATTTAATTATAGTAAATATTACGACTGAATTACAAAAATTAATATAATAAATCATACATTTATTAATTTTGTTGTGAACAAAGCATAATAAATTTCTCACAATGTTTGCAATTTGAACAATTAGGTCTTTTGAAACACTGTGATTGTTTAAAAAAAAATCTATAAATCAGAAGCACTGATAGTGTGTACTACATACCTACAGAGAGTAATTTATTGGTACATATTGTCTGCCGGAAGAATTAATTTGTACACAATAGCATGATGTGGAATGTTTGAGTTATTAAAGTTAAAAGTAATAATTAACAGGAATACAATTATTTATATTTATTTCCTATTGTTGAAGTAACATCAATGTACTATATGAGTAATACAAGTTCTCAAATTAAATTATTTGATCTGGGAAATAAAATCTAGAATCTGCTAACTACGTTTTAAATGATTTTTTTATTTCATAAAGGCAATAAATTTATTTTAGAGAAACTGTACAAGTTTCTAAACGTATTGG